CTCGTCCTCTTCCTCATCACCTCCAGCAGCATCATCACCATTTATCAAAACTTTGCTAACTTCAGGCACTGGGCTGGATACCTTATACCTAATCCACACATTAATCCTTCTAGGAAGTTGGTCCGTAGAGAGAGGAAGTAAACTCTGCCTCGGTAGCTAGCAAGACAGAGCTGGAACTGGAAGGAAGCACATCTGAGTGCCAAGCCCTTACCACTAGTTTCTTGGTGGAGGCCACTCTGCCCCCCATCTCAGCCGAGCTGCAGGACAGTCCACACGCAGGACTACCACACAGCTTCCATGAGTGCGTTGGGCCAGCAAGCCCCGCCCCACACCCCAGCACCCACATAACCTCTGCCCTGTGACTGGCTTCTGCATCTGCTGAGGCAGTGTGAGAGAAGTCTGGGAGAAGAGGCTGATGTCCTCAGAGGAGGTCATCTTTAATCCCTCAATGGCTTCTCTGTGCTTCTCTGATGCAAAGACTGATTTTCCTCGAGCCCACACTTTCTCTCCAATTCTTTCTTCCTCGTAACTCACTTTTTAAAAGGAAACTTAATTTTGCAGATCAGATGCTGTAATTTAATAGGAATCTAAGAGGTAACTGCAGATGGTCAGAAGGTGCCAGGAGTAGTTTCTACTGGCTCCTTTCCCTCCAACCCTGTAACAAACACTGCCACCTGTTATCGGCGGGCAGCTCAATAACAAATTGCATGATTGGAACTAAGTTGCTTTAGCTTCAGTACAATTACTTCTTTTGTTGGGAAAAGTGTACTCAAGTCAGGCAGTTTATTGGATTTTCACCAATCTCTTCAGCTCTTAGGTACTTGTGTAGAATGTGTGCTAGATAGAGGTAAGAGTTAGAGGGAAAATGTGCTGTGTTTTTCAGCACAAATTGTAACACTGAAATTATTAGCGATTTTTCTGTATGAGGAGTCTGTAAAATTTCATTAAGTATAAATCCAAAAAGAAGAAAGAAACTTTGTAAGTTTCCTGATCAAGCCACATGTCCATTTTCAGATATATTAACTAGCTAGAATGAGAAATCACATTCTAAATATTTACCATGGGTAAGGCGATTCAACACCAATAAATATTCCTATAGCCCAAGAAGGCATCGACTAGATTTATCTACTATGGAAAACAACTCTACATTGAGCATACTGGCACTTTTTCCAAAAGAAAATGTTTAAACTTTAAAAATCAGTGGGATACCTATTTCAACTCTTGGTTCTTCCCATTTCGCTTCTTTTGATTGTTACATAGTTTTACGTAGATTACTACATTTTTCAAAAAGGTTGCTCTCACAGAGGTGATGAGGATATTCAGTCTGATGGCTCTCAGACATTTGAATGAAATCATCTTTGTAATACTATTCCATGAAATTTTGAAGCCAATGAACTGTGTGCTTTAATGTCCTTGAAGATATGAGCAAAAATGGCACACCAGTGATTTCCAAATCAGTGATGGTTTCATCAATATGTAGAGTATCACTGGCCATCTATATTTTAAAGAATTCTGGGGGCGCCTGGGTGGCTCAGTCGGTTAAGCTTCCGACTTCGGCTCAGGTCATGATCTCACTGTCCGTGAGTTCGAGCCCCGCGTTGGGCTCTGTGCTGACAGCTCGGAGCCTGGAGCCTGTTTGGGATTCTGTATCTCCCTCTCTCTCTGCCCCTCCCCTGTTCATGCTCTGCCTCTCTCTGTCTCAAAAATAAATAAACGTTAAAAAAAATGTTTTAATAAAAAAAAGAATTCTGGCAATAAATTTCACGAGCTTAATCTCTAAACTGAAGAAAAATGATTGCTTTTTTTAGAACTACCAGGTAGATCAGAAAATAAAGTATTAGGAATTTAAATTAGGAATTAAAGAAGTAAAGTATTAGGAAATTTAAAAAGTAAAGAGTACTTGTTGTAGAGATAAACAGAGTAATAATACTGCTAACAAATATGCAAAATTGAAATAAAATTCTCAATGTTATATTACTAGAAATTTCATTGAAGAGTGCAGGAAACAAAGTTTTTTCATTGATAATACTGTATTTCCTTTCTCCTGAAATGCATTTATACCAACACTTGTCAAGTACTTGGCAACATGTCAGATTAGGTGCTAGGAATAAGTAGGAAAAAAAACATAGCACACACATCAGAATTATTATACAATTATTTGTTTGTACCATACTGCAGTTTCAGGGAAGGGGAGATAATTTTTTAAAAAGCAGGACAGCTGGGGCACCTGGGTGGTGCTGTTGGTTGCCCATCTGGCTTCAGTTCAGGTAATGATCTCATGGTTGTGAGTTTGAGCCCTGCATCAGGCTCACTGCTTGCATCTTCTGCCCCTCACTCACTCTCTGCCCCTCCCCACTCACTCTCTGCCCCTCACTCTCTGCCCCCCCCCACTCATGCTCTCTCTCTCTCTTTCAAAAATAAATTAAAAAACATTTTTAAAAAGCAGGACAACAATAAACATTCTTAATATGTAACATCCACTGGATAATCTTAATGAGCTATTAAGTAGGTTTCTGGATTACTTCCATTGTTCCACATTCTTGAAAATACCTAAGATATGGGACGTCTTGATGCAAATTAATTCTAGCCATCATCTCATCTTTGCCACACTCACTCAGGATTCCATACCATTCCATAAACTTCAGACCATTTGAGCCTGGTGACAATCCTGTTCACCACATTTCATGGGTAGATCTTTCAGCATCCTTAAGAAACAGGGTACTGCCCTCACCAAGATTATTCCAATATGAAATATCCCCCAATTGGGGAGGTTGCTCCATTTTCTAGACAGCCAAAAATACAACAAATGATCACCTCACTTTCTCACCTTTGGTGGCCCAATATCCTTATAAGCCTTTATGCTTAAACCCTTCCTTCAAAAATAATAAGTAAATAACAAATGCTTGCACTTAATGTAATGCAACTTGGTCTCAGTGACTTTGCAGGATACAAAATCAATATACAAAATCAGTTGCATTTCTATCCACTAACATTGAGATATCTGAAAAAGATATCAGAAAAGAAACAAAGAAAAGAAGCCCATTCATAATAGCATCAAAACCAATAAAATACTTAGGAATAAATATATTCAAGGAGGTGAAATATCTATACACTGAAAACTATAAGACATTAATGAAAGAAATGGAAAAGACATAAATAAATGGAAAGATAGCCCATGTTCATGGATTGGAAGAATTAATATTGTTAAAATATCCATGCTACCCAAAGTCATCTATGGATTCAATGCCATCTCTACAAAAATTTCAATGAATTTTTTTACAGAAATAGGGAAAATTTGTAAAAATCTGTGTGAACCACAAGAGACCCCAAACAGCCAAAGAAACCCTGAGAAAAATAATGAAGCTGGATTTGATCACATGTTCTAATTTCAGACAATACTACAAAGCTATAATAAGCAAAACAGTTGGTATTGGCATAAAAAAGACACATAGACCAATAGAATAGGACCAAGAACCCAGAAATAAACCATGCATGTGATCAACTAACATTTGATAAGCGAGCCAAGAATATTAAAATGGAACAAAGTGAGCCAAGAATATTAAAATGGAACAAAGATGGTCTCTTAAATAAATGGTGCTGGGAAAACTGGACATACACTTTCAAAAGAATGAAACTGGACCCCCATCTCACATCACTCACACAAATTAACTTGAAATGAACTATAGGCTTAAATATAAGACTCAAAATCACAAAATTCATAGGAAGAAACCCATAAGGAAAATGATTCTTGGCATTGGTCTCGGCAACGATCATTTGGCTATGACACCAAAAGCACGAACAAAAGCAAAGCTAAATAAGTAAGTGGGACTACCTCAAACTAAAAAGCTTCTACACAGCAAACAATCGACAAAATGAAAAGGCTATCTACAAAATGAGACAAAATATTTGCAAATCGTAAATATGATAATGGGGTTATATCCAAAATATATTAGAAGACCTGTACAACTCAGCAACAAACAAACAATCTGATTACAAAATGGGCAAAGGACCTGAATAGATATTTTTCCGAAGAAAATATACAAATGGTCCACAGCTAAATGCAAAGATGATCAATAGCACTGATCATCAGGAAAATGCAACTCAAGACCACAATGAGATATCACCTCACACCTGTTAGATTAGCTCTTCTCAAAAAAAGACAAGAGAAAACAAGTGTTGGGGTGAATGTAGAGAAAAGGGAAACTTTTTGCACCTTGGTGAATATAAATTGGGTGGTCACTGTGGAAAACAGTATGGCGGTCCCTAAGAAATTAAAAACAGAACTACCATATTATCTTGCAATCCCAGTTCTGGGTATATAACCAAAAGAAATGAAATCACTACTTGAGGAAATATCTGCACTTATGTTTATTAAAACATTGTTTACAAGATCTGAAACATGGAAACAATCTAAGTATCTGTTGACAGATGAACGGATAAAGAAAATGTGATACACACACACACACACACACAAACACACACACAGGAATATTATTCATCCATGGACAACATGGGTGAACTTTGAGAACATTATACTAAGTGAAATATGTCAGACAAAGGAAAACAAATAGGGTAGGCTCTCACTTACATGTGGAATCTAAAAAACTGAACTCACAGAAACAGAGAGTATGTTGATCGTTGCCAGGGGTGGACATGAGGGGGTTATGGGTGAAAGTGGCCAAAGGGTACCGACTTCCAATTATAAAAGAAGTAAGTTCTTGGGATTTAATGTAAAGTATGGTGACCAGAGTTGCTAAAAGGTTAAATCTTAAAAGTTCTTACCACACACACACACACACACACACACACACAAATAGTAGCTATGTGAGGTGGTAAAGGTGTTAATTAACTTTATTGTGGTAATCATTTTACAACATATATATATGTATATATATCAAATCATTATATTGTACACCTTAAACTTACATAATATTATATGTTAATTATAACTCAGTAAAACTGGAAGAAAAAAACCATGAAAAAAAAAAAAGAGCCCAGATAGGCAGGTGATAGTCTCAGTTTTCAATTTGGTGGAAATACTCTTGTGTTTCTGATAGACACATACGTCTCCTAGGATCTGAAATCTCTAAGTCAAGTGAGCCCAGAGTTACAGAGATTAGATGAAATCTAGGTGTAGGTGGTATATCATTAGGAATTTCATGTAAGGAACCACTTCAACTTACATCCCTTGTACACAAACCTGTGTCTTCTGTCCCTAGAATAGTGTTATGTCCTATTCACTGATTCATCGTATATGCAATAGCAGGCAGGACAAACACTAACTCTGAGAGATAGTATCTTCCATATGGTGTTTTAAGATGTCAGTAAGCTTGATAGTTCTCTGAGGCCAGATTCCTTTGGAAGATGGGTACATAAGGACTATGAACCTGATGGACATCAGCCTTCCATTTTTTTCCATATAATGAGGCCTTGGATCAAAAGCAATGGGAGAGTAGGGATATATAGAAACCATTTGTCAAATGTATGGTGGAACTCTGAAAGGCAAAAAGGCAACCCTAACTCCGGCATAATTCCCTATAGAAGTGAGGATAATTTGAAGGACGCTTCTTCACGGCTGGTTAAGGAGTGAAAAGAGAACTCAAAGTGGGATGATAGCTAAAGGACAAATGAAGTAGCTAGACTGGCCCTACTGCTAGCATGGTAAGCCTACCATCCACATCTGTGCCCAAGAAAGTTGACAACCTATGGATGATATGCCAGTGCCAATTCCCGAGGGGCCCTGGGCCTGGCAGTTGGGCCACAGGAGGAAAGTCTCTTGCCAGAAGCACATTCAGAAACCAAGCAGGAAGAAACATGGGAGTTCCAGGAGGCTGCCCCATTGGTTATGGAGCCCAGACTATAACTGAGAATTTGGGGAACATGATCATACCCTCGGAAAAGAGACTAGACCCTAACAAGGGCTCAGGAGCTCCGAGCGGAGCTCAGAGCCAGAATTAACTATGTACTCTGAAGAAATGTACCCCAGCCTACTCAGTAAGTGACTTCAAAGGACAAGACTTTTCCAGACCACACCAGTTGGTGAGGCCAGGGCTTCAAGGCAGAGCAGAGCTGCGAAAAGCAAGGATTAACACCACTTTTATTTATAGCTCACTCCTGCTTATTAAATTCTCCCCAATTGTGTCTTTTTCTTCAATTTTCTCCCACTCTGTCCTTCAGCATTTTCCGGAAGAGCACCCCACCCCCCTGTGCTCAGGCATGGGTAAGGCCTTCACAATTCATTTTCCAGCCTCCATCATTTCTACACCCTCAAAAGAGTTTAACAATGTAACTTGTCCTTAAACCTACTGGACTATTTATTGAACTGTGTTCTTTTTATGGCAGTAAGACAAAGTAACAAGAATTCACTTTCTAGAGCCACGTGTAATCACTCTGATACAAAGTACTACTGTAAAGGTTGACCATTTTGACATAAATATAATGGTGTGGACTCACTTGGAGAGCATTTTATACATGAAGTGGTGTTACAATTGCTAAGGCAGCTGTATTCTTACTGGAGAATAGAAAAGATTCTTTGAAGCATTCAAAAACATATAGTCACTGTGCATGTTAGCGCTGCCCTTGAAATAACAAAAGGCCTTTTGATAAGAGTTCTAAGCTACAAGTGTTTCTATGGATGCTTGAGGATAATGGGCACAGATTCACACTCCTGCATTTACTGTTGACTCATCTCTTTTGTGATTCTTCCCAGTGAACAAAGAAGAATGAAAGTAGACGTGAAGTGAACATGTACTGAGTCACATGGGGTACATTTTCGCCTAGTTTTCAAAGAAATGGTTTAGTGCACTAAGTTCTAATACAAGGGATAGTGGGAGTTGAATGGGTTCAGAAAGTACCCATGGATGTATTCAACCCAAATTTGAGTCATGGAATCCAACGAAGCTCACGTTACACTTTTGTTTTCATTCAAAGAGAATCAAATTATAGCTTTGTAAATTTCTGAGGGCTTTTCAAATTAAATGACCTATAAAAAACAACAACAACAACAGACAATTGAGTAAATGCCAAAGTAAAATCTTATAAAAAAAAATGTTAACAGCAAACAAACAAAGCAACAATTTCTGAGTCTCTCCTAATCGCTTGTTAATCAAATCCTTTACCATTACCTTTAAGACTGTAGGATCTGAGCTTTGACTCACAACACCCCAGTCAGTCCCTTTTCTTCAGCCACACAGGTCACCTTCAGTTTCTCAACTTTGCTAAGTTTTATTATACTTTGAACCTTTGCACATTATGTTTTCTTTGCCCTAGAAAATTCTTTCTCCCCACCCTCTCCTTACATAACTGGCTCCTTTTAATCCTTCAAGCCTCAGTCTAAACATGACTTCCTAAGAGAGATCTTCCAAAAATTTTGATTCAAAGCAATCCCAACACCAGCAAGCTTTTTATGGAAATTGACAAGCTGATTGTGAAATGTATATGGAGATGCAAAGGCCCAAGAATACCCAAGAAAGAATCTTAAAGATGTACAAAGCACCTACTGATAAAAGAAAAGAGTGGTAGATTGAAATCTAGTAAAATAAGAATTTCCCTTCATTTAATGATACCTGTGAAAAAATTATGAAAAAGGTGTAAAAAAGACTTGAAAAAACAAGCCACAAATATGAGTGTATGTTTGTGTAGTCTTTTGTCCAGAGTTTATAAAGAATTCCTACAAATCCATATGAAAAAGAGAACCCAGTAAGAAATGGGCAAAAGACTTGAACAAGCACTCCAAGGGACAAAATAAACAAATGAAATTAACACATGAAAAGATGCTCAACCACATTAGTCATCAGGGAAATGGAAATTAAAATCACAATATGAAAAAAATTTGTAAATCCTTCAACATAGCTAAAATTTAAAACTCTGATAATATCAAATGTTAGTAGGTATGTGAAAACAACTCGAATTTTCATTAATTGTTGGTAGGAGTATAACTGGCACAAATCACTTTGAAAATAAATTTGATACATCTACTAATGCTAAATATATTCATATACTATGATCCAGCAAATTCTCTTCTAGGTATATAAGCAAGAGAAAAGTATACATATGCTTCCCATACAGCATGTAAAAATGTGCATAACAGTACTTTTCATAGTAGCCCAAAACTGGAAACAACCCAAATATCCATCAACAACAGAATGTTAAATAAAATGTGACATATGCCTACAATGAAATACCAAAGAGTAATGAAAAGGACCAAATTGCACTCAACAACATAGAGAAATGTCACAAGCATAATACTGAGTGAAGTAAACCAGACACAGAAGAGTACATACTGCAGGATTTCATTTACATAAATTGAGATCTCGCAGGCAAACTAATCTATGGGGTTGGAAGTCAGGATGGTGGTTATATTAGGAGAGGGAACAAGCAGGCTTCCTGGGGGCTTATGCAATAGCGGGGAAGTGTTTGCCCACATTTAGGACTTTTTGTAAGGCAGTGTTGTAGAAACAATTGAAGAATTATTTCTCCCTTTATACATTGCATTTCCATTTCTTTCTTCTCTATTTCCATGTGGTTATTAACCAGATTATTTACAGTTCAGAGCTTCCAAAGCAATGCCAAGGACAAACTCTGGAGACCTGCTGAGCTCTGGATGTAAGTTAATATGTTTCCCAGTAAAAACTGAACTTTCCTTTAAAGAATATGAGCATGTATTTCAAACAAAAAAAAAAAAAAAACTGAACACACAAAAACGCTCATACATTCAAAACCATATGTAAAAATCACTAAATTACAGCTTATAAAAACAAAAAAAAAACCCATAAAGTGGCCTAATAGTGGACATCTGTTGTATCTTGTCTATCTAACCCAGCTCTCTCTTTTCTTCCAATAACAGTACACATTTTTCCTTAAAGGAGTATGGTTTATGTGGTTTTAGTGAGGCTGACCCTACCCATTCTTGGTCTCTAGTAGGAGACGCCCCTTTCCATTATGATTCATTCAGGAATAGATCTATGGGCCAAGCAGGATCAACTGCACTCTTCTCTGAGATTTCCTACATAGAAGCAGTATGAGAAAGAGTCTCCTCCCTCTAGGGTGGCAAGTTATAAGAAAAATGAAATCTGGGGTGGCCTATAGCCCTCTTTCTTAACCATTAAAAAAGAAGCCATCTTATTTAGATCATAGATGAAAATAAAGCCAAAAAAAAAAAAGAAGTCCAGAGAAGAAGACAGAGCTCTGAAAACAAACTTGGGACCCTGGATTCCTAACATTTATTTTTCTGCTTTCAAGTGTTTATATTAGGTTTCTGTTATTTGCAGTTAAAAGTCTCTGACTATTATAGACCAGAAAACAAATATGCCAAAAATCACTTTGGGAAAATTAAAGATACCTGCCTGTGTACACAGTTATATAGGTCTTAGACAGACTTTAAAATTTTTCCTGATAGTTTTAGCAGACTATTTTCACAAATTATTTACATCGACTTGTTTTGATGTTGTTTGCCAAAACTTTCACGCTCACTTCTTTCAGATAAACTCCAAGTTATTTATTTTTAAAAAAACAAAACAACAACATAGGCTCTCTGCATACCTATTAGAGTTCTTTTAAACATTTTACTGATCGATAGTATCTTCAGGGAGCCTGGGTGGCTCAGCCGGTTAAGCAGCAGACTTCTGCTCAGATCACGATCTCACTGCTCTTGAGTAAGAGCCCTCTCTCTCTCTCTCTTTCTGCCCCTACCCACTCATGCTCTGTCTCCCTCTCTCTCAAAAATAAATAGCCTTAAAAATAAAAAGTAAAAGTAAAAAAAAAAAGTAAAAATAGCCTTAAAAAATAGTATCTTCAGCAATACAAATTTAGGGAAAGAAGAGAGACAAAATTCAAACCAACCATTTCCATTTTTATTAACTTAAAAAAATGTTTAAATGTAGTTCTCTCTGCATCACTAATATTTGGAAATATCAGATATTTTAAAACATCTTCTATATTATGGGTTGTCTTAAGAAAAGGACATGTATTTCTGGTCATTTTAAAGGATCCTGCTAAAATTATCAGCATATGACTTTGGCTGCTTTGATATACAAGATTGATTTCTCCCATCCAATAACCTACCATTTGGTTTGTGAGGAGGTGTCTTCTCAATGTATTATGAATAACTGTCAAGGTAAAAGATAGTAATTGTTCCAAAGAACAGAGCCATGAGCAACACCACATCAGCGGTAAGTGTGCCTGGCTTGAAGTGTAAGTCTGACCTCTACTAGAAAGAAGGGAAAGCAAGAGAATGGTGTGACAGTAAATGTAGAACCCAGGAAACATGGAATTCATTTGTGAGTATCTAAAAGAGAAGAGGAAATAGTAAGAATAGCCTTAAATATTGAGAACGGACCCCTGTGATCTAAGACAAAACTCGAGAAATGTAGTTTCTCGAGAACTCAAGAAATGAAAGTTTCTAAGCCAAAACTTAAGAAACCTGAACTAAAAAAATTCTCAGTGTTAATGCTCATAATCACTGGGGATTTTTACCACTGGTGCCTTGGACCAAAACAACCAGGAACAAATGAACAATCATTTGAACTCATTCAAACTACTGAGAAGCAACTCAGAATACACAACCTGTGGATGGTTGCTCAAGCACACCAATAATTTGTCAAGAAACAAGCATATTTCCTATTAATCTAGTCAAGACAAATAACCTACTTGACCTTATAGCCATAACCTTGGAAACTACAGCATTTCACCCTGCCAAAGTCTTGATGTGTATGTACATGTATAGATGTGTAATATTTCATTATTAGCCATTTACAATTTTATTTTTATTTTCTTATTTTATTTTCTTATCACCCTGCCAAAGTCTTGATGTATATGTACATGTATAGATGTGTAATATTTCATTATTAGCCATTTACAATTTATTTTTATTTTCTTATCAAGAGTAAATAATGGTTTTCAGAAATTAAGGAGAAAATGCAACACTTCCAGGAGTCACAGCGATCCATCTTCAAAAAATATAAATTGACTAACACATGAGTCATACACTGAGTGAGTCAGTCTAATCAGGGTCTAGGCTAAGCTGGTGGGTGATTCATCATTAAACTGAATTCATATTCACGTTTTTCTCATCACTTGAAGGCAAACACAAGAGATTAAATTATTTCGTAAATGCATCTTCTTGACAAATACATCAGACCCACAAGAGAAAATGGTAACTTCGTTGGATGCCAAGTTTCCCTGAAGTGAATCAAATGCCTCCGCACAGCACAGCCTGGGCCACGTGTTTCAGAGATGCCAGCCACACAGGGAAACACAAGACAGAAGTTTCAGATGCTAAGTCTTGGCCTCCTAACACCTCAGGAGCTTATCAGGCTGTTCCAAGTAAAGAGAAGGAAGCACTGAGTTCTTGTTATCTTCTTGTGCAATGTGGGCAAATCACTATATTTCCCGGAACCCAGTCTTAAGTGCCATCAGATTAAAATGATGCAAATCAGCCTACATGCCCCATCAGGTTAGGGTGAAGATTGAACATATGGTATGCTCTCTATCCCCCCCAAAGGGAAAAGAAAAAAGAAAAGCATCTCTACTCTGGCCCTGTCTCAATGCCTATAATTCCCACTTACCACTGCTTTTGAAGTAAGGCATTCATTCTCAACTGTGCTTCGTGACAGGAGCACCTGGGGAGTTTTTGAAAATATCATTACCGGGGTGGGCACCTGCCTGGCTCAGTCGGAAGAGTGTGTGACTCTCAGTCTCAGGTCGTGGGTTTGAGCCTCACATTGGGTATAGAGATTACTAAAAATAAATAAATAAACTTTAAAAAAAAAAGATAGCTGAAATATATATATATATATATATATATATATATATATATATATATGTATATATATATATCATTACCTGAGCCCCATTCCAAAACAACTAAATTACAATTTCTGGAGGTGGGGCTTTGGCACTCACCAGTAAATTTTCAAAAGTTACCCAGGCAATTCTGACCTGTAGCCAGGGTCGGGAGCCATGAGAATAGTGTGGATTCCACAC